AAATCACTACATACTTATTTATGTATTAACGATTTTCTTTTATATGTAGGGCATGGTGCCAACAGTTCTCATTTGTTTTTGCTATTGAGGGACAATTAATTTACCATTCAAAAAATATATAAGTACAAAACGATGTTTGGCTTTTTTTTATTCTGGATCTATCTCTGAATATTAATACAAATAGGGTTTTGTTTGGTTCGCAATGAAGGGACCAAGATCATTTTAGCAATGCTGCAGTATTGAATGATGATTGTATTTAATATAGAAATTTCCATGATACACTACAAAAAGTTAAATCTTGACTGTTGAGAGGGGTAGTCGTTGTAAAGAGGCGGTCGAAACAAGAATTCTTTTTGATAGAGTAAAAGAACAGAGGGCCTTAAAGAAATGGAAGAAAAGGAATGATAAGATGGTAGGATACCTCATCAGGCATAAAGGGGTAGTTAGGAACATATTAGACACAGAAACAGAAATAAAGAGAAACAAAAGAAGACTTAGATTAGATTACTGTTCGCAAATAGATTGCCGGATGTTCTAGTTTTCAGGAAATACGAAAATTGATCAAGGGCAAAAAGGAGTAGAGGTGCGTGTCTTACTAGTGACGATGATGTTTAGATAGGGAAAAGTTCTGTTACAGATTTTAGACGAAAGCCGAATTATTAACAGCAACAACAAGCCCTTTTGGTGTTGTTATAGAATACATGACAGAAGAATCCACACTCAACACACGAGGGTGCACTCATCAAGACTAAAATATTCTTTCTAAGTAACATCCCCCAAGCATCTCTGTTAACAATTATGCATACGTCTAAAAACAAAAAACCATCCTACGACATTTGATGAAATTACGACTCGGGGTGAACACGAGTCGTAATTTAACACGAAAAAAAAATTAACATATATAAATTTAATATTATTAATAATGTGTTTTAAAACTGTCTCCGATGTCCGATCTATATATAATTAACGTAAGAGTAGGACCACAATTACTAGCTTCGAAGTATCTATTGTAATTGAGTTTCTTAAAAAGGCAAATATATACAATGTACATTGTATAAATGTATGTAAGTTTATTCTGCGTTGTATTTTCAAATTTTATTGCAGTTGGAATTCAAAGACGATGTCATGCTGTCGCTAGTTCGCACTCGAAATGTATATGTTAATTTTATATCGATACGATTTTATTCGCCGTTGTTTTTGTGTAGGTGGCCCGTGGATTTCTTAACAGAAGTCTGTCACTCAGTGTGTGGTATATGTCACGGCGCGGAGTCTCGTACTCGCCATGCCTTCAGTCACAAATTTATTTTTCAAGACTGCCGCGATAAATCAATCCACTATCGGAATAACTTGTAGTCGATTTAGCAAGAAGAACTTTGCTAAAATTATTCCAGACAGCCGTGATCTCGTGGTGCAAATTTTACAAACACGTTCCCATTCAATGAAAATTTAGATCAGACGATGTGTTATTCACCTAAATACTTTCCCAGACTGTCAACATCAGTATACACATGTTTATTTAAGTATTGGATGCCATTAGTTTTGATCAATATTTAGCAGTATAGGCACTAAAGTAAAACAGAAATGCTGGCATGCAAGGGAAGAAAAAGTAGGAAAAGAACGAATGTAAAGTCAGATAAGTCAGGACGGAAGGTGTAGTAGAGATATAAAGCAGAGGATAGCGTAGGGTCGAATTACCTTCAATATAAAGAAATCACTTTTACGCTCGCGAACGATTAGTTTAGAAATTGGAAAAAGATTGTTAAGGATATGGAAAATTCATAAAAATAAATTTATGAAAAATATAACATAAGACCAGGTAGTTTATTTTTTAGAAGTTTGAATTAAAGAAAATAGTTATATGGTTATCAAACAATTTTTATTTTATATTGTAACGTTTTTGTTAGAGGTTCGTATTGGTTATTTTCGTACAAACTAATGAATTTGACAGTATTTTATCGTAAATCTTTTCAGAGAAGTCTGTCCTATATTGATTAATAAATAATCCTCGATTCAGTTTACTTCTATTCAATAGTTTGCATATTTACTTTTGAACTGCTAATAAAATTCGAATATAAAAATGTTAATATATAATATTTCTTCTTCTTACCTACATGCCAAGTTTGAAGATTCTACATTTTACGAATCCAAGACAAACAGCTGCGGTAGATGATTCTTTTAGAGGTGCTGACTTTCCTGAAATTAAGATAAATTTCTTCAAATGACCACTATAAACTATAATCGAGCTACAAATTGTATTATTATTGAATTAATTCTGATTTTTAGAATAAAAGTTAGCTTGAAATTTCACAAAATCGTTTAGCAATTAGAAACTGTTAATGTTTCCTTTTTGTCGATAAAACTTATGTACTTATAAAAAAGTAAGCGTTAGGCAGGGAATACACTGAGAAATGTTTCCATTCGTTCGCATTCGTTTACGTTGTTTGTTCGTAAACATTCGCAAAAATTTTGCCAGGTAGAGTGGCACATATGAACTGATTAACCATGCCCCATTTGTATTCGCTAGAGTTCCACCCTTCGCGAGATCTTGTTTGGTGTAATAATAATAACACACAAAGGCGAAATCTGTTTCGTCGAATGGTATCAAAGTACCGAACATTATTTTCAACACGTCCACATACGAACGCCTATCAATGTTCGCAGACATTCATAAACAGTATTTCCTTTTGATCTTTTTGAGTTTTACAGAGCGTCAAAGGAAAATGTTCGTTCCAACCTTTGGTCATTCGAACCAAAATTTATTCGCGAACGAATGCGAACGGGAACAGGTGTATTTCCGGCTTTATATTCTGAAATTTTTGTTAAATTAATTAATACATAATAGATATATTTTCGCTGTAGGTCTATAATCATTCAATTAATTTTATATATTAATACCTAATTGAGCAGTAATTAAGTAACTTTAATTTGCCGGCATGTTTTTCCATTTAACGAACGCTTATTACGTTTCGGTGTGCAAGTACAAATAAAATTATGTATTACAGTGTGTGGTAGAAAGAATATACAGCAAGTAAGCACTAAGTTTATACATAACCATGTCAATGTTTCAAGTCATATGCTCATAGTTCTCTTCTTACGGCTGTTGACCACCCAGAGCGACTTCTCCAAGTCAACAAAGATAACATACAATGACACATATTATATTACCTTTATAGTGAAATGATATTTTTATTGCTGAGAACTCGTAAGGCTAAGGCACACCTACGACATTAACTTCTGAAGCTGGACGGTTTTCTCTTTTCAACTAGTCAATAATACGGTCATGTAAAAAAAAATGAAAGCAAATTGTCAACAGTAACCGGTAACTTCTCAGTTTATACCGGCGATATTATTATAAGAATAGATACAATATCATTTCGAGTAGGTTTTGGTAAATTGAAGCAGTAATGCGCTCGTCTTTCTGATGTTTCTCACGTATAGAAGCGGAAATCACTACATACTTATTGTCTACTGGCGCCTAGTCTCTTTGGATTATTCAAAATCAGTTTTATTTGCTTGTCTGTAAACTCTAAAAGTAACCATAGTCATCGTCAACATCATCAGGTCATCAGTTCTAACACTGGTTGGACACGCACCTCCACTTTTTCCTATTCTGAGCTAATCTTAGTATTTCCTTAAAATTAGAACATCTCATATCCTGTTTCTGCTTCTAACATATCTCTAACTAGCCCTTCATGCCTGAGAAGGTGTCTTACCAATCTATATAGCCTATTTCTTATCGAGTCCATTGCTCTCCTATTCTTTCTAATACTTCTTCATTTCTAACCTTCTCTTTCCACGGTATCCTCATCATTCGCCTGTAACACCACATTTCAAACGCTTCTAACCTTTTCCGCCGCACCCACTGTCCATGTTTCGCACCCATACAGCGCCGTGTTTCAAACATACACCTTTAACAATCTTTTTCGAATTTCTAGATTAACCGTTCGCGACCATAGAAGTAATTCTTTTTATTGAAAGCGACTCGACCCTGCGTTATTCTTTCCTTTATATCTCTACTACTCCTTCCATCCTGACTTATCTGACATCCTAAATACCTAAAATCAGCCACGAGTTCTAGTCTTTCGTCTTCTATCTTTACATTCGCTCTTTCCCTACTTTTTATTCCCTTGCACACCAGTATTTTTGTCTTACTTTTATTTAATTTCATACAAAACTGTTTTGTCAATACCGCTTCCATTTTATTTAAAGCTATCTCTAACTCCTTCTTGCTAGATGCTAATACTGCTGTATCACCTGCAAATCTAAGCATACTAATCTTTTGGCCCCGCATAGCCATCCCTACAGTTGCTCTGTCTTTAATGATATTGATCTAGTATTCTATTATTATTAACCAGCAAATCTGTTTTATCTAAAGAATTTTCGGAAAAATTTAAATAGACAATTTTGCAGAAAGTAACTACAAAGAAAAAAAAACATTTGGTAGGTAGGTATACCATGAAGGCGTAGCGCTTAGTTATTATCCTTGAATACCTAAGCCAGCAGTAATAATAAGTTATGTAAACGTTACCATAATATATATTAATTAGATAGATTGTGTTAACAGCTTCTCCTATTTCTCAGTTAAAATTTTTAATTATTGAAAAGTGATTGTTCAGCAAGTAATGCCTGGGTGTATGTGTCTATTGTGTCACGAGAGCGGTATTATCCTTGTGCGGTGCAACATAAAATAGCATTCCTGAGACGCCCTGCTGATATCTTTACGTTATTTGTGTAGCAATTGCAAATCCTGCTGTTTAATAGAGTAATAATTGCTTAAGGAATTCTTCGATGAAATGCCAGACTTATTGTGCAAGGGTAACATAGAACTGCGCCCAATTTTCAAACGAAATTGATCTATTTCGATGAAGAAGAAAGTACCAATTCGATTCGGTGTCCGCCTGCTCTGCACTAAGTTTTTCTGAGGGTTCTTTCGTATCAATCATAAGGTCGTCAGTCCTATGACTGATTGGACACGTACCTTCACTCTTTCCTACCCTGAGCTAATCTTCACACTTCCCCAAAACTAGAACAACCCACATCCTTAACTATTTGCGAACAGTAATCTAATCTAGATCTACCTTTCGATCTAGAGTTTACGACTGGACACAGTACTTTGCGTGACCCTTTTCAATATTATTTACGCTTTAACTATAATCTGGTTTTTACGGTGACGTACATACAATTTATATCATACGTCAAACTACCAAAGTTATCAGAATTAATCACAAAATTAACGGAAAACTGTACATATTATCTTTCTATTCCACAAAACGAGAGTGCAAAGTTTAAAAAAGCACATTTCGAAATGAATTAGTTTATTTAAACAGCCCCAAGGATGTTCTTTTCGTGTTCGATACCAGGATTGTTTGGGCTTATAGTTGGTATCTAAAAAGGACTAATTCTTCAATTTATTACCAGTCTGACCTCATTTTAAAGATTTTAGAAATATTACAACTGATTTACCTTTATCCTTACTTTTGTGGTATTTGTGAAACAATAACGGATTCCAAGTAATAAAAAATTTGTTTTCATATTGAGTTCCCTAATGTCTAAATCCGTGTACGTGTTTATTGTAATTAACTTATTTTAAATATTTACAGTTCATACACGGAGAAAACTGAATTTTTATGACAGTGCAAAAATTACAATTTTCGATGTAAACGACTGGATTTCCCTAGAAATAGTAGACTTTAACTTTAACGTTTTTTTAAAAATAATTTCAAGTTTATTAATTATTACAATTCAATTTGTAATATCAACCAAAATACCTAATAAATTTATTTCTGCTGGAATTTTATTTTTACAAATTCGGCTCCAAATTGTAATTTTTATTATTTTCGCTTACGAAACAACGGGCTAGTGTGATAAATGGTAAATATCGCTTTAATATTTAGGTAAATTTTCCTTTTTCGTTTTTTCCGTGTATCTGTTATCCTGAATATAAATAAACGGTATAAATTTATTTAAATCTTACGCACATTGTTTAAAGTATATATTTTATTTCCTTTTGCTAGCTCCTCAAATGGATCCGAAAAATTGGAGAGGAGACCTTGAGGAGCCAAAATATTCAATTACGCTCAATCACCAGCAGTACAAGTGTGAAAGATATCGAAAAGAGCTTTGAAAAGTTTTATTTTGATGCTTTGGTAAGTAAATCCATGCCAGATTTACCTACTTAAACATATCCTCTTCTCATTCTACTATTACGTCATTTCAAAGAAATTTTCGATTACTTGAATCACCAATTTTGGCTCAATATAAAAAATAAATAATAATTACAATTACGTTTTCCTTTTATCACAATCCGTATATAGTTGTCTACGAAAATGCACTTATCTTAGCTAATATGTCTATCTATTTGACAATGGATAAGTTTAATAAACTGTAAACATTGACTTTTTATTTATGGCTAATACTGCATATCATATTTATTCCAGAAAATACATTCTAATTGAAGTAAAAGATTAACGTATTTGAGACCTATTTCGTCGGTTGGTGTCTCGCTATTAAATTATTAAATTAAATTAAAACTGGAAATATTGAGTGACACATTTCGGTGATCAAACTCTTTTGTATGATTAACTTTTTTAATTGATTTACATACCTTTGTCATGGTAATGAAATTTCATCATTTCATTCTCGTATATAATATACAAAAATGTGAGTTTTAATATGTTTTTTCTGTTTTCTTTATAGAGGCAAATCGACAAAGCGAGTGATTTGGTTGAGGAATCCAACAACATCCCTGACATTCGTGGCAAAAATCTAAAAGATTCTGCCAACAAATTAAGGGTGCAAGCAAAGACGTTTAATGAGAAACTAGAAGATGCTCGAGAAGAACTTGAAGAATATTGTCGTTGTTTTCACATTTTAGAAAATAGCCAAAATATAAAAAGCAAGGACTATGGAGATCTATCTACAACCATTAACAAACTGGGAAATTCAAAATTAATAGATATTTTTAAGGTAGGAACTAATTCTTCTTACTATATAATACACTATCTAAGCTCATCCAAATTTGGACGATAGCACCCGTTGCGGGTTCCATTCCCGGCGAGGGTATGACAGCAGTAACGGTTTTTCCTCATTGTCTTTTATAGTGGATAAAAAATTGAAGAAATTTTCACAGTAATATTTAAAGAAATTCTTAACCAAACTTAACTGTAGTTAAATTAATTCGAAATGGTCTGGATTCTGTCGAAACTGCCAGACGCGGATCGCGATTTCGACCTTTTTGGATCTTATCAGCGCGTCGCAGGCAGCTCCGACAGAACACAGACCAACTTTTACCTGCTGTCTTAACAGTGCGTTTTAGAAAATACTACAAATGGCGCAGTAAACGCCATCTGTAGCACGATGCTACATTTTAGGATTACGTATGCTCCAACAAGGTCCATTTGAGTAGCATCGTGCTGCAGATGGCGTTTACTGCGCCATTTGTCGTATTTTCTAAAACACACTGTTAAGACAGCAGGTAAAAGTTGGTCTGTGTTCTGTCGGAGGTGCCTTCGACGCGCTGATGAGATCCAAGAAGATCGAAATCGCGATCCGCGTGTGGCTGTTTCGACAGAATATAGACCACTTCGAATTATTTTATTCGATTAAGCTAACGTGCCTATCACGTTGAGGTTGGCTACGCCAGGGATTCGTTTTCAGCAAGTAAATATCCACATAAGTGGACCTTGTTGGAGCATACGTAATCCTAAAATGTAGCATCGTGCTACAGATGGCGTTTACTGCGCCATTTGTAGTATTTTCTAATTAACTAACTGTAGTTAGTCTATTATAACTAAGAACTATAAGAACCTTTTCCAGGCACTGAATTCTCAAAAGGAGGTAGACTCCCCGGAACCCCCTGACAAGTCATTATCCGATAACCACTTGAGTTGCAGTTCTGGTGGAATAGCCGCATCAAGTACTCCAATAAAACCTCCGACGAGCCAAACAAGAAGAAGATCAGTTAGTTCCCATGCTTTTATTTACAAGTGTAATCATCACGCAGCGGGAATGTCATGCAATTGTTACGAGTCCGATACTGAAAACAGTGTTTCATACAAGCTTAAAAAGAAATACTTGCAGTCCCTTCAAATATGCGGTTGCACCACTGCAACTGCCGCAGTGAACTATTCAAAAGAAACATTAGACCGCAAGAACAGCCTCACTTTAGATGGTATAAAAGAGGTCCGTGAAAGTGTCGAAAATTTATTAGAAATAGACAAGAATGATTCGGGACTTAGTGGTTGCGGTAGGTGCGACAGTGGCGTATCGACCGCGGAAAATTCTGTGGGTGAGGAAAGCACTGTTTATAAGAAAAAACTTCAGAGAACGTGTTCGTGCCAGTTTTATAGGGAAAGTTGTGCCTTATGCAGTACGGGTAGTTCAAGCACTGGTTCTAACCAGGATCATACAGAGAATCAGCAGGACAGCGTTATAGAGGAAAGTAGCGATGGTTTTATGAAAAGGTAAGTGCGATTGTTTATTAAATGATTGACTATAGAAATATGCTCAACCATGCACTGAAGTGAAGTGTGGAGAGTAGAGAATATATATATATATATATACAGTCGAACTTCGATAACTCGAATTTTTGATAAGTCGAACCAAATTGGTTGGCAATAGCGTTAAAAGTAGAAAATGCGTGTAAATTTGCCTTGATTACTCGAACTTCGATTACTCGAATATCTTGATAACTCGAACGAAATATTTTGCTCCAACTTCGATAAGTCGAATTTTCTGGGAGAATCCCGTAATTACGGTCGATTTTAACCTATCTTTTTTAACGTATTCATACAGGCAGTTCAGTTTCTGCGCTTGCTAAGTTTACTTGTTTGACTTACTAGTTACTACTAACAATAAGTAAAAAATACTGTGCCTATTTCATATATATATTACATTAAAGACATTTTTGCGTGTGTTAATATGTCATCAAACGTACTTTAAAAACATTGTCTGTTGTTCAAAAATTTGAAAATTCGTTGAGTGTCTCGCGTTCCTATTTAAAAGCCAGTGAATATACAACCGACGCCTTGTATAATAGTTAAATGAAATTGAAGCTTTTTTCGAAAACCAAAATAAGAAATCCGTTCGTCAGTCACAAATGTTGATAGTACTGTTTCATAATTTTTGTTATTCCTTTGAAAAACGTACATATTAAGGCACTTATGTAACATTTAACCAATTTTTACTGAAATAAATACATAAATGTTCATTCACAAAGAAATACTAATTAAAGAAGTATTATTTGATAACTCGAAGTTTTTATGTGTCACATCGCAGTTCGAGTTATCGAAGTTCGACTGTAT